ACTTGATACGAAGAGATGAATTTAGGGAAAAAATACGTCGTTGTCGTTTAATTTGTCACAAAATAGAAATGGTTCAACTGGATGAGAATCGATTGCATTAGACCGCTCAAATGTATTGAGTAATATTGCTCGAGTGCATCCCAAATTGAAACATTGATATATACTTTGTTTCATCCAGAGATTATTCGTAAAGAGCCGGGCCATGGCTCAAATGTACCACTCTGATTGCTTCAAAATACAATAAATTTGATAAATGATGAACTCAAAACAATAATGCGAAAGCTATATTGAGTGTGCAATGCATGGGCAATGCTTTCACAGGGTGATCTGAAATGAATATTTTTGTGTTTGCATCGAAATTCTTCATGTCATTGCTACTTTGAGCTTAAGTGAGCGCTGGAATTATGAAATATATTGAAATAAAATGAAAAAGCTTCAAAATATCGCGTTCGAAACTTAAAGAATGGAAATAAGAAAATATCCGATCACATTATTGCTGAATTCCAATATTCTTTGAAATTCTTCTGAAAATATCATCGAAAGTGCCATGTTCATTCAAAAGATGGATAAAACGATGTATCTCTTCCGGAGCGACACCCAGTGAGTACGAATAATGATGAAAACATTTGACATTGCCGATTGTAGTATGCGCCGAATGGATGCTTTCTTCTCGGATTTGATGGGTCCCATTTGAGCTGTCAACGCAAAAGAGAACTGCAAATGATAAAGATACTCATAACGAGTTTGCCGGAGTAAAAAGTGATTCAATTTGTTTACGTTGAAATTGATGGGATCTCTTTTTTTCTCTCTCACTCGTTCGGTCGTTCATTCTTCTACTCTTTTATATAACGTACATATATATCGTGACAAAGTACAAGCGTTTCGAATCGGTTGTGTGACGGATTTATTGCTCAAGTGTTCACATCGATTTGGTTGTTGTAGACGATGCTCGACTTTTTTTCTTTCGTCAATTTTCATTGAATAACACAAATGTTGTGGCATTTCAAATGCAATCGGCTAGAGAAAGCTCACAATGAATAAAAATGCGAAAATAATAGCAGTGACATTGTTCGATTCGGAAAGTGGGTGAATAAATCTTTCAAACGACTCACACACAAACAAAGAATAAGCGTTTCAAACAAACAAGGGGACAAAAAAAAATGCCTGCGAATCCAATCTAAAATCGGACAATTGCAGAACCTGCGCAATATCTTGCCTCTCTATTCACGGATGCCCGGCCGATTTGACATGACATTCTTTGTTCGGCGACATTCACGTCAGCGGCGCTCGTTAAAAAATAAACTGTACGTTGAACTTTTCAGCCATTTCTCCGGGAATGCCTATGCGATTGTTGATCACAAAGCCAGACAAATGGCGATTGAAAAGCGACGAGAGAGTGTGCGGGCAAAAAAGAGAGAAAGGAAGATTGCAAGGCCACGAGAGATACATGCAGAGCAAATGGCTTAAAGTCAAAGTGTATAGGGTATTTTGTGTCTTGAAACCTTGGTACAAATCAAAGTGAATAAAACACAATTGAACGGTCAAATACGTCGTTGTTTTTTTCCCTCTCTCTATCTCTCTATTTGTTGTTCACTCTCTATTTCGCCAAATGTCTAATGGCTTCATTTTTGTTATGCACAGTAAAAAATAAAAGTCCACATCTAGCCGTTTTTTCAGCTAAAAACGCATTCAGCCGATATTGCTGCTAGTAATTTGAGCTGCAGGTAAAATTCCGCTTATAATCTAGTCGGTTTTTCGTCTAAAACTCAATTTACTAGGCAAAATATAAGACTGGGCGCCTCTACCAGTCGAAAATCCGCCTAAGTGTGGACTTTTATTTTTCACTGTGTGGGTTTTTTTCTTTCTTTTTGTCATTTCTTTCTACATCATGCCACAACATTTGAAAAATGCCGATCACAACTTTTGAAACGAAAGAGCGAGTCTCAAGAGAGAAATAAGTTGTGCCGGCCTATTCATCGATCAGGAAGCGGAACGGAGAAAACAAAATTGGAGAAAGAAATGTTACCAGTTGACAATGTGACTTTTTATGCTGCTAATACCATTTGATATTTCAAAACAGTGGGACAAGAACCAAGAGAAATCTGCTGGAAGTGGCGCACACTGGTAAATGGGACTGGTTGATGAACATGGAAAGTACATATCGCAATTTGGTTGCCGTTGAGTTGTTTTTTTTTATCTTCCACTCATGCAGCACGCAGACATTTATTGCTTCGTAATTTTCCAATTTCGGAAGCGGTTCCATTAATTCGACGACATTTCCTAAGCCATTCATGCGTATTCATGAAAATTGAATGAAGCACCGCTGATTTGTAGTGCATGCACAACCACGAAATGTTAACGATACGGTTTTTTATGGCCACCGCTCTTGGGCATGGTGGCTTAAAGAAGGGCGTGCGCGCGCGTTTGACACAATCGAAAAGACAAAAGTGACTGGCTCAAATTGTTTATCCGAAATTGTTCATCATATTATCGAATGATACCAAATATCAAAGTTATTACAAGGAGCCAGACAATAGCGGCAGCGGCCATTGTTGACCACATTGACACCATATGGAAATCTCGAGCAAAAAAACAACAAAACATGGTTCAGAGAAACAAACAAAACGAAGAACAGCAACAACAATGTGGACACACGGGCGAACATATACATCGCAGAGAGTGAGGAAAACAAAGAAAGGCATTGAGAGAGTGGGCAAGTGAGTGAAAAAGAAGCACATTCCGTATAAAGTCAACAGAATTGCAATGGAGATTTCCAGAATGCAATGAAAATTGTGAGAGAGGGAGATTGAGTAAAACGACACAATGCATGGAATATGAAAATAGCTGGCCGAACCAGTGAAAAATAGTGTGTGTGTGCGTGTATGGCTCGGTGTAATCAGAGAATATTCGAAAGCGAATAAGAAGAGTTGAATAACAAGCTTTAAGTATTATACAATTCCGTGTACTGGATTTATAACAAAAATCAATGCAATTGCTCCCTCCCTCTCTCTCTCTCTCTGTGTGTGTGTGAGTGTTCACTTGGTGATCGGACTTTTAAATGGGATAACTGTCAAATTGTTTACAGTTTTCAACTCTGACTGACAATCGGACAGCGGCCGTAGCAGCAGGAGTCGCTGTGGGGAGGGGAAAAAGATAAGAGCAAATGCATTCCCAACTCACACGATGCGATCTATGGGTATGAGTGTGTAACCGCAGCATTTTGAATCAGCAAACAAATCGAGCCAAAGTGCATATTTCCGAATGCATGGGAATCACAAAATGAATTTTTCTTCACGTTAAATTAATACCACCGTATACATTACAATGTAAATGTGAGCAAACGAGAGAAGGAGAATTGGGTGTCAATATATTCGCCCTTGTGCACTTTTCCGTACGTTTGCAATAGACTACCATATGGTTGTTAGACAAATGCTTTTGTCGTCGATTCTATTCTTATGACATGACAAATATGCAGATCTAGCGACTTGATGTGTTTTCCCCAAACTATTTGCTCGAAGGTTTCAGTTTAACTGTCACACTTGTGTCCGCACATCAGCAGAAACAAAAAAAATGTTTAGGATCGATCCGAAAAACCAGAGCAATCGAAATGAGCTTCAAACGATTTATTTACTCAATTGATTTCAGCCAAAAGCCAACCAAAACCCCGACTGATTAACAAAAATGATACGATTTTCGATACGATTAGTTCCATTTTAAAATCGGCTTTGAACCTCTCCGCTGATTATAAACTTAACCTTTGCTACAAAACACGGGTGCCAATTACAGTGATTTATTTAGATTTAGACAGTTTTTTTTCGTATTCGTTCAGAGATAAATACATTGAAATTGGTCGTACGCCAGAAACGAACGTGTAAAATGTCATGAACAGATTTCGTCATCATTTGGCCAAATGGTTGAGGAAATTGATCGATAAATTTTATGATTGATATTTGGAAGTGGCACTTGAATTGTATTCAATTTAAGAAGTTTTGAATCGCTAACGGAATTTTCACATCATCAAATTCGAAAAACACACACACAAATGGTTTCGATTCATTTCCATTGAAATCATTTGTTGAATAATTTGTCTCTTTGTCCCTTCCTTTTTATGCTTTCTTTCTACCATTTTTTTTTTCATTCCTTTCAAACTTTCTAATTGGCAAAGAAACCGAACTTCCCATGCCGTATATGGATTTAATTTTATTACATGCATTTTATTGTCAACGGATTTGTTTATTTCTCTCTCGTTCTCTTTTTCTCTAAGCGAACCGAAGTCGTTCATTGTGTGTACATAAAAATAGTTTGCTTGTATATGAAGGCAGAGAGTGTGGAGAAAAGGCGAAGCAAACCGAAATGGGCATTGAGAACGGAGATAGAAAATGGCCTAAAATCTATATAAGCGTTACATACACCAGCCAAAACTGACATGATATAAATTTGACAGGGCCTCTGATTCTCTCTCTCTCTCTCTCTCGTTCTCGGCATCATATTCAAATAATAAAACTCAAATTAAATGTGATTTCATCATTGTTGTTTTGAGTTCTGTGCGATTATTATGGTCATTGGCTGTTATTGCCCGTTTCAAGCGTTCGTTTTTCGTTGATTTTGAATCGGGCGAAGAGTGAGTGAGAAAGGCTGCGTGTGTGTGTGTGTGTGTGTGTGTCTTCTGTGGTGATGCCTAGAGAGAGAACAACTAGTTCATGTTATTGATTGAATGAATTACTACGAATATACGAAGACGACGAAAAAAGAGCGGCTTGATATTTTTTGCTCCTAATCCAAATGAGCAACAGCACTCGATCCATTTATTTGTTGTTTGTTTCCACTTTTGTTTCCTTTCTTTTTTTAATTTTTTTTGTTTTGTTTCGCCGAATGCTTGCTATTTTTAGCAAAATTGTTCTTGGGGTTTTTTCGCTTCTCTTTCTCTCGTTTCATGCATTCATCACAATACTTTCGAGTGGAGTTTTTAGTTACTAATAGTAATTGCGGCCATTTCGATCGTCATCACAGTGATTTGTCCATTTTGACATTGTGTTTAGATTGTGTGTGATTTCAAATAAATACGATTAGGTCATTGATTATTACTACTAGCATTTTCAATCACTGTCAGTAATATGCGGTTGCGCGCGCGCGCTCGCTCATTTGCTCAACAGAAACAGAGAACGGTCAACACAAAATCAATGATTAAATGTTTCACTTTGTTTTGACGTGTTTTATGTGTGTTTTTTTCTATTATTGCTACTTTCATTTATTATTGTAGCATCGGTCGCGATTCGAAAAGCGGGAAATCGATTTTGTGTAAAGTATGATTGTGTTTGTGAATTCCGTAGCGTCTGAACGTTATCATTTGACATTTGTTATTTTGAATAACAGTGTGGATAGAGCACATGTTTTTCAAATGCAAATTTTTCGGAGCTCGCTCTCCTAATCAAATCGAATTTCCCTCAAATGATCAATGGTCAATTCGATCGCAACGGCTTGGTTTTTTACATTCCTTTCGTTCTCATTCTCAGTCAGAATCAAGCACACGCTTATAATCTCATAGAAAATTTGTGTCAAGACATTCTGCAGCGCCGTCGATTTATGATGACAAAATTCAGTACTAATCGGTGTTATTATGCAGTATTTCTCAATTTGTCGAAATCACTTCCAGCTATTTACAGGCGATTTCGCCGTCACTAATCGACGGCGCTGCAGATAGTCTACTTTCTTGATTCTAATCGTGTGGAATCAAGTGAATCATGTTTGTTTGTTTTCTATTTCCGGGAATGGCATTTGTTATTTGCATCGAGGCGTTGATTGACCGGTATGTGCACATGTGGAGCCGGAGAATTTGCTTTTTTTTCTGTCTGCGTTTTTAATACACAACTCGCTTTCATCTCAAATTTGCATAGTCTATGCACTCCCACACACATAGCTACTGTATAACAAGCAATGTAGAAGTACACACACATGTGACAAACAACTAAATGCGGTAGACAAAATTCGTGGAAAACTCAATTCATTGCAAATGACATTAGTTGATTTTAATGATGGCAATTCATTTGTAAATTTTTTTATGACAATTTTTTTTTAGTTTTGTTTCAGTCGGATCAATTGACGGTGACACGCGTCGTTTGAATGAACGTCGTGTATATCGGCCATTTTCCGAGTGACATTAATCAGAAAAGGGGCAATAAACTAAAAAGAGAATGCGAAAAGAGGTAATAAAGTACAAATGAAAAGAATCGAAATGATGTGCATTGCATCAGAAATAGAACACAGCGAAAATGTGTTTCTCCCCCTAAACTGCTTCTATCCGGGATTTGAAAATATTGAGCACATTGAACGTTTTGAGGACGAGATGGCAGTGGTGACCATTGCAACGACATTTGTATGAACGTTTTCATATTGGCACACGCATACAGCCAACAAAAGGAGAAGACGAAGAAGAGGAATATAAAAACATGTGTCTTCATCATCTTCAGACATAAAGTGATTCTCAGAAGAGTAAATGATGATAACATTTACTGACTGGCACTCATTTTTTTCTGTCTTCTTTTAAACACCACCAGTGACCATTGAATTTACAGAGTGCCATTAAATCTAATGTGATTTTTATTAATAGCTTTTTAACGCATTTCTACGAAAGAAGAAAAAAATCCCAACAGATAATCTACAACTGTGCGAATAATGCATCCGAATGGACGGCATACCAATCAAAATGAACTAGTCTACACTTGCAACCGTTTCAACGATCACCATTTCAAACGGAATGGACATCTCAAAAGATTTGGTAAGATCAAAGCTTTGTGATAATGCCGGTTTCTTTTTATAGTTTTACGACAATATTAAGTAGAAAGAAGACATTAAATATAAAGGAGTTGTGTTCGGTTTTTTTTGTACCAAAGAAAATGGTGCGATTTCCAGGAACTTTGCTCAATTCAACTGCAAAGCACAAGTTGTAAAGAAGACTTGTGTTTGGTTCACAAAGAAAATTGCACTGTTCGACATCGATAAAATAAAGGAGTCAAACACTAGATACCTGTGAATCTCTTTAAATTGAGTGCTTTATCTAAATCCGCACCAATAAATCCTCTTTGCGGCCCACACATGCACAAGAAAAAGAACCGGACCACGGTGGTCGTATGACTAAGATTGAATCGAAGCAATTAAATGGATTAACACCTACTCGGGAAAAATAAATAGGCAAAATCGTGAATAAATCTTGTGAAACATTCACTCATTCACACACGGATTTCTCTTTCTCTCTCTCTCTCTCTCTCTCTCTCTCTCTATCCCACCCTCTTACTTTCACTGAAGATTTCGAAGCGTTGGCCAATCGAATAGCCAGTAAGTGTATGTGTACAAAAGCAGTGAAACTTTGTTTCGAGATATCCGTTCAGTGTGATTGTGTGTTTTTGTTATTTTCCCTCAGTTTGTGTACAAATCGAGTCGTATATCAATTCTATTGTTTTTCCGTATATTGCCAATAAGGATTTTGTAGTCGGCTGGATGAACGCAATACGTTGGTATTCCGGAGCTTATCTATGGAATTGTTTATAATTCACATAAGTACGCTGGCAAATCAAAACAGACAGAGAATTCGAAAGGAACGTAGAGACAGCGGGGGAAAAGCTGGAGGAAGAGTGAGAGATGTGTTGTGTTTTCAAATTGATTAGAATATTAATTGTATACATTGGAGAGTCCAATAAATGGCCGTGTGTCGATTACGTTGGAATGCAAGAAACATCGATTTTCGATTTAATTTAATGTCTCTTCGACGTCGACTGATCATTTCTCTCTCTTTCTCTTTCTCTCCCTCTCTCTCTCTCTCTCCATCTCTCTTACCCTCGCACTGGACCAAGAAGTGCTATAAGGTCGTTGATTTTCGCATTCGTACGATGCGAATGCTTACACGTATACACGTAGTGTGTACAGAAATTGGCATCAGCATCTCGAAAAGAGTCAGAGAGACATCGACACCCGTGTCGATATGAGCAATAATTCATTGGGAAAATCAAATTAAATGCAACAAACACGTAGACAAGCACAAATCACATTACTATCATTATTACTGATTGTTATCATTGTTCTTGTTCCATTCTTTTCATTTCTTGCTGCGCTCAAAACCGAACGCACTACGTGTACGCACTACTCAAAATGTACCAGCTCAACTGCTCGAGAATATAGTAATCAGTTATTCGCTCATGAACTGAGCCGAAGAGAGAAAGAGAGAGAGAGAGAGAGAGAGAGAGAGAGAGAGAGACAGAGAGAGAGATGCCTGGCTGCCAGTACAAGAATCGTGCGAATGTGCGTGTATGTGACGCGATTCAAGAATATATATTTTGCTTTTCGGTGATTGTAAATAAAATGTGATATGATTCAATGGGCATTTCATTGAATTGAGATACGGTTGTGAGCTGTAACCGAATTTTCGTGAGCTCGCTCCATTCGGACAGTCAGCCGCTGGCTCCTTACTCTTGTCAATCGTATTAGTGGAACGACTGTGACCATATACTGAACAGTAAACAGGCAAAAAGATCAAACCGCAGAAATTGCGCAAAAGATCAAAGTCCAGTTCCAGTAATGGCTACGATTTATTGGTAATAGCCCGATTAAAAAACTTTAATCGTCAATGACGACAGCATACAGCAACTCATTAGAATAATTTAAAAAAACTAAGTAAATAGTAAACATTTCTTTATTATTCACTAATTTTTATTGGTTTCGCAAAGGAATGACAACAAAAAACCACGGCACGGCTATGCGTATGTGTGACAAGACAATATGATAATCTCGGATTGAAAATGAAACATCAAATGTGTACATCTATTCAATTCAAACACATGCCGGAATTGAACAATATCAAAACGGAGCTATTGTGGCCAAGGACTGTTTCAAATAGTTAGCAGTTCATTTGATAATTAGACTTAAAGGCTTGCAAAAGCCTAATTCCAATACAAGTGGCTTCATTTTTATGTCGCCATTGCACACAAACAAGGCATTGCAAGGATTTTACAATCAAAACAATGCACAATGCCTTTGGCATGGATTCATTTTGCTAAAGAGATAGGCTTCTCCAAAAATATTATTCCATTTTCTCTTTTCATAACGACCCGTTTACTATAAATTTTCATTATTTTGCTCAGGTTGATTGAACGAAATATTTTTTGTGAAAACAGCACAAAGCTGTAGCTTCAGCTACATTTCAAGCGTAACACCTTCACAAAGGTCGAATTTTCCATGCAAATGAGTTGATGAACGATGGAAAACTCGTTGTGTGTTCAATTTCACAATTTTTAACAACCCATTCAAAAATGTATCAACAATTCTTCGAATTAGAAACTTTTTCTGATCAGAATATTCATTGATGATTCACATTATGTAGAACAAACAATTTGATACAAACAAAATGCTTTATTTTTTTTTTCAAAAGACTCCACGTGATTTTTAAATGAAAATGTTTTTTATGCAACAGTTACCCGAACGAGTGAATTATTCAAACGATAACATACCGATGAATCAATCATTTGAAATGTGAAAATCGTTGTAAATCATCCAGGTCGGTGAAAATGGTTTCACTTGGCATTCATATATGTTTAAACTGAGCACTTATTTACAGAATCTGCACATTCCAATCGAGTATAAATATGTGTATCATACGCTCAAAATATTCAAATTACAAATTCAATTGAAACAAAACAGTTTTGGTTCTGTTTGCCGAACAAAAATTCGCCCACTTTAAATGGAAATGAAACAATAAATTGTGACAGTGTTCGAGAAGGAGTTTTATGAGATCGAGAAAAAAAATGAACAAAACAATTGAAATAAACACAATTCAATAGAAAATCAATCTATACATTCGTTTTAATTGAAATGTAAGCACACCGGGGAGCTAAGTGCCTAGGTGAATCCCAAACGAAATGACAAAGTTTCGGAACAAGAAAGATACGGCTAAGAGAGAGAGAGAGAGAGGGATGGAGGGAGGTCGGGAGGTTGAGAGATTGATAGAGAGAAGAAAGAACGAATCAATGTTTAAATCGTCAACGAGTACAAATGATTTGGTGAGAACTTCAATTTGCTTGCATCAATTCGTTCCACTTGGAGACTGTTCATTAAGGCGAACGGGCACGCCGTTGCCTCGTGTGTGTGCCAATCATATATCGCACTAGTGAATATGCCATATTCACGTCTTTTTATATTCACGTCTCTCTCTTTGCCCTCTCTCATTCAACCGGAGAGAGATATGTTTGGTGTCCACTGTCCAGTTGTCCGGGGGATCGAGTATATTTTGTCATGATCTATTGGCAATAACTGTAATTCGTATTAATCGAGTGTTGCGTGATGGTTTCGAGAGCGAATGTCTCTTTTTTTTTCTTCCATTTCGTTGGTTTTCAATTGGATATCAATAAAAGTGTACCCATTTATTTGTGATCACATGAAACGGCAGGCAGACAGACAGACAGAAAAAAAATGAAGAGTGTAGACAGAAATGCTAGACTGTCTAAGAAACAAAAGATGCTGGATATTTAAATGTTACACATTTGTTCGGAGCTCGGCGAAAAAATTTCACTTGTAAGAAGAGCCATACATACATACAAATATTACTGACGTAATTGGCGCGGTGCCGTGCTCATAACATTTAGAACAATTTCGATGATTGTCTAAAGTGGAGTAAAACGAACGAGCAGAAAAAGAAACAAAACTTAGAAGAAAATAGCACTAGCGAGTATATACCTACATATATGTAGTAGATGGTGAACGATCAAGAAAATGAATATTGATACAATAATAATCCTCCGTCCGACACATAATCAAGTACAACACCAAGAGAACGGAGAATGTCACACAAGCAATAGTCACAGAGCAATTTTCTATGTTGAAACTACTGAGCACGAGAATGAGAGACAGAGAGAAAGAGAGATAGATGAGCTGGTTGTGTTTTTTTCTGCTCTTCAAAAGTGTATCGTGCATTCGTACGATTGGTGTTCGGCTTTGGGTACACTAGCAATTGTTAGCATAACAAATTGTCTAATAAGAACAAAGTTCAATTCCACGAGAGAGTATTCAACAACAACAACAATAATAATAACAAATAACACACATATGTCTCAATCTGTAGCGACATTCAGGCGACTCGATTGAGAGAAGAGCCGAAAAAAGAGACGTTGACGACGACGGCGACGATCATTTCAATCATCTATTCTTGTTTGAAATACAAATTAACATGATATTACAATCTTTCGTGTACTTTTCACTATTGATTTAAGTTTTGTTCGAATGTATTCACCGCTCCGAACGAATGAATGATATTAAAAAATATTCCTTCGAAAAACCATGCAAAGATTTTGTTCGTTTGTTCCTTTCTTTTAATTCTTCTTTGAATTTGCACAAAATAATTAAAGCATATTTGTGTTTGGTTTATTCAATTCCGCCAGAATGCTTGCATAGTTCAAGTATGCAACGCATACATACTCGATGTTATTACCTCTCAAATCGGGTGCGATTCCAATCAACCACATAAGCGGGCTGCATCCTATTCATGGGACAATAGGTAATATCCAGTTCGAGAGGTTTATTTAAAAAAAAGAAAAGACGATGATGATATTCAATACATTCACTGAAAATCCTCGACACTGAATATTGTTCAAAAATGTTGTAAATCGTGTTGTGTATACACTGAGAGCATTTGTTCGGTTTGCATACAATTGAATTTTATCGAAAACTTGCCGTTTTGTTGCGATGCGAACAAGCCAAAAAAAAACACTCACGAAATAACTTATCAGCTTATTTTCCTCGAATGGAAACGGATCAGAACACGAGGAAATCGTAACAAACTACTTAGATTTCATTGTTGATAAACAGAATGAAAAGAAGAAACGGCTTACCTTATTTGGGGATGTATGTTTTGTATGTTCGCGTGTGTGTGTGTGTACGTGGGCTTGGGAGGGTGAGTTTTACCGAAATTAAGTACAAAATGTAATGATGTGAATGTTCCTTTTCAATAGCTTCGATTTTTACTCTTATCGTTCCCTTTTTCTCTCTCTGGTGTGTATGTGGGTGTGTGATTGGTCGGTTCTATATTTTCCTCTGTTCCTTTCCTTTGATGAAATTGTTCGAGCTGCATAAAAACTGAATATACAATAAATACCGAGTCCACTTATTTCATATGACAATTACCACAGCGGCTGTTTGAATGTGACGAATGAAAATAGAAAACGATTTTGAATCCAACACAAGAAAAGAATTATCGGATGAAAAATGTGTGTGAGAGAAAACGGAATGAAAAGAAGCAACAACAACAAAAAAGACAATAACAACTAACAACAGATAATTTGATGTGTAAACGAAATGAAAATTTTAAAATGAAATAAACACAAAAACTCCCAAAAAATCAGTAACAAAACGAAAGTATAGGAAGTACTATTGATATGGTTGGAATATGTATAAGTGCTGTCATTACTGTCGATTTTCAAAATTGCACAATACACCGCAAACACATTCAAAATAAATCTGAAAGTTTTCGATTTGATGTTCGGTAATTTATAGGAAAATCGTATGCTAATGAAATCTAAAGTTTAAGCATTGCTTGGCATATTTTATCATCAACGCTCTGCTTCTCATCACATTTGCACACTCGTTCGCTTGCTCATCTGCCGTCTCGTTCGCTCCATTGCAGAACAGTAGCATTTACATGAGCTTTTTCGTCATTGTTATTTCTTCCTTAAGTCTAAATACTATTATTGTCAGCAGTTAACGCAGCGCAAAAGAGACAGACAGACAGTCAGAGCGAGAGACAGGGAGACAGGGAGACAGAGAGACAGGGCGGGAGGTAGAGAGTCTTAATATCCAATTTTATTTATTTATAATATATTTATTTATAATGTGTTCCATGTCACTTGGTTGGTTGGTATTCGACTCATTGGCATGAAACTGCCTGATATTTAAAATTATAATAAAGATGTATATGCAAACATCTTTGCACGTTTAATCTTTTTTCATCCCCCACATTTGGTGCTCTATCGGCGATATTTTGCGTGCGTATGCATGTGGCGGTGTCTGTATATGTACAAACGAAACCAAGAAAGAGAAAGCATGCGACTGAATGCGACAGCTACAATATACACGGTGGTGCGATGTGTTATGATTTCATCAATGTCTAATTACGTTGAATATGTATATTTTTAATCGTGAACACTTATTGACAGAATCCGGGGGCTCATTCGAACAATATTGCCAAGTGCCAAGTGTAAAGTTTTCTGGCTTGATTATTTAGCTGCCTGGTAGGCAGCAATAGCATGAGCTTTTTTTCCATTTGTAGGAAAAATTCGCTCCAAAAACCATGGCGATGATATTATATATGATATTGTATCACCGTGGAAATGTGTATACGGATGAAATGCCGTCATCAACCACCAAAAACGAAGATCGACGATTATGTCGCACATATTGATGGCACTGTAATTCCGATAGGTTTATATTTTAGAACAATGCATAAGCATAACAGAACATAACACGGGGAGCCACATACCATCGCATTATGTTGAAATAAATGCCAGAAGTGCTGCTCATTCGCAACAGATATTTTGGTGGGTGTATGCCACTCTCTCTCTCTCTCTCTATGTTTAGCTTCAGGCAAACTACTGACATGTTTCGGCGAAAGTGTCATGATGCCATACACGCGCCACAAACATCAATTTACTTCATTTCATATCTCTCTCGTTCGCCCGCTCGCTCTTCCGGCCAAAGTAAACTGACGAAATCATTACGCCCGTATTAGAATATGCATTAGATGGCGGCATTGGGGAAAATGTAAATTAAATTGAATGTCGTGTATGCGCGCGCGTTCAATGGTCCAAAAACATATTGTTCTGACGCCTCTAACTGAATTAAAACCATGTTCTAATTAAAATGTTGTAAACCAGGCGAAACAAAAGTGAGCGAGAGAGACGAAGGGGGAGGGAGAGGGCGAGAAAAGAAAGAAAACTAGTTAATACTCGACCGAATGCTCATTTTGCATTACAAAATCGGGAACAACAATTGAATGTTGCATCATAGCCAACAACCCCATTGCAACCTGCCACAACGAAATCAAATCAAACCGCATTAAATCCTTTTTTTGCATGCATTTAATATTTTGCTTGTAATCATGGAACTAAGTTCATCATCATCATTACCGATCGAAATGCAGAGCTTCCAAAGTTGCAGCTTTGTTTTCAATCAAAAGATTATTTGGCATCAAATTCCACCGAAATTATTTATGTTTTAATATACGCACACCATACACTGGGCTTTGCAAATAAATTCACGTATAAATCAATGCATACTTGTTTTTGAATGACACACAGCGCGCGCAAACAGAGTGCTCAAATGACGTAAATACGATTTAAATCACATAATATATCTTCCATAAGCGCTGCGAAAAAGCGTACGAAAAATAATCATAATAATATGTCATATGGGCGGCATTTATAATTATTCTCTCTCTCTCTCTCTCTCTCTCACTCTCACTCTCACTCTCGCCCATGATTTATGAATATTACAATAAATAAATATCCCATTTGAAGTGCGTAGGTTCGGAATGGGAATGGTCGGCGTGAGATGTGGCGCATGGAGTATGTGTGTGAGAGAGATAGAGAAATTGGATACAAAGCAAGTGAATGGGGAAGCTAGCATTAAATGTTCACGGGGCAGATCGTTGCGGAGTATATTTCAGCCACTGTTCTTTTTTGGTTTTGTTCAAATCATGATTATGTACACTTTTGTTTGTTTTACCGTCCACCTCGCATTTTTAGTCATTCATTTGAGATCGTCGGAAGAATTTTCTATTTTTTTCCCTCGGAAATTTCGTATATCGGATCACTCTATCTCGAATGAATGCTGCTGCTGGTGCTGCTGGTGCTGTTTTGGCG